AGAGAGAGAGAGAGAGAGAGAGAGAGAGAGAGAGAGAGAGAGAGAGAGAGAGAGATAGCGCAGCACCCTACCTCCTTCAATCTCAAGGCTCGCTTACGAACTATCAGGCACGCCCCCAAGTTCGAGCACCGTCCATCTAAACCCTTTTGCATGGATTCGCCATGTTTCAGATAAGGCAACGGAAATAATACGAAGGTTTGGAACACGGTATAAATTTACCACACCGTAAACGTATACACCATCACAATCATCATACGTCTCAACTTCTCTTTGGGCCCTCCTGTTCCTATCCCGGAGCCTGATAGAACAAACGGTTTCTCGGCAACAATATAGGCCGTCCCGGCCGTACAGCAACAGCCCCGCACAACCAACAACAACAACAATGGCGACAACCGAAATGGGTCTTGGAATTGCGACAGGGACAATAGTATCACCAACACAGCTCCCGTCTAACCAACTCCCCAGCCGTGACGGTGCCGCCCCCGCCCGTCCCACCAGCCCCGCTCCACCCGCAGCTGGCCGCCCCATGCGCCGCCCCCCGGCTGGGGTGGCCACATTCCTCTCGACACTTCTTGTCCTTGCCCCGGTCGACACCCGCCCCACGGCCCCAGCAGCACTCCAAATGAAACTATCGATAGAGTCAATTATATTGTCGTTAGCCAAGAAAAAGCCTCGCACGGACAACCAAACTAACCACTTACTTCAGTTATTCATAGTATATTTTCTGAGCACGGTTGGTACAACGTACAGGAGACTTTTATCAACAATATCTTCTCTGCGTGAAACGAAGAAAAGCAACCGTGCTGTATAAATGTATCTCCTAGAATCGTTTTTCTGTGCAATTTCGTGCTTTTCCTCCCCATTTCGGTGCCTCTCTTTTATCTTTCCTAAGGCCCCTTCCCTCTTGGCCTCGCAAGGCGCATCTCTCTCTCTCTCTCCCTCTCTCTCTCTCTCTCCCCGGGGCTTCTCCCCAGGGTGGCTGCCATGCAATCTACGTAGCTGGTAACGGCCCTATATCTATCACCCCTAATGTCCGTACGTGGCGCGAACCGACGCAGAGAGAGGGAGAGAGAGAAAGGGAGGGA